CCGGGCCTGGAGGGCTGTGGGAAGGTGGGGTACGCGGGCCTGCTGACCACTGACCCCACCAGAAAGAATCATAGAATCGCTTTGGTTGGAAAAGACCTCCAAGATCATCAAGCCCAACCATTAGCCTAACCCTGCCATCCCACCACTAAACCCTGGCCCTAAGCACCTCATCTAGCCTTCTTTTAAATACCTCCAGGGATGGGGGCTCGACCACCTCCCTGGGCAGCCCGTTCCAGAGCCTGACAACCCTTTCTGTGACAAAATGTTTCCTAATGTTTAACCTAAACCTGCCCTGGCACAACTTCAGACCATTTCCCTTCGTCCCATCGCCCGTTACCAGGGAGCAGAGGCCGACACACACCCCTGGCTCCCCCCTCCTGTCAGGCAGTTGTAGAGGGCGATAAGGGCTAGCGTTCAAGGTGCGGCCTCACCAGCACCGAGTACAGGGGCACCATCACTTCCCTACTCCTGCTGGCCATGCTATTCCTGATACAAGCCAGGATGCTTGTATCCTCCAGCGATGACCTCTGGAGCCACACACGGCGCAGTCAGGGGCCACCGGCAGCACGTTGTGGTGTGGTGTTGCTCACACAGCCCGACACGTCCAAAGCGGGACCGTTACCGACGCATCTGGGGCCAAACCATCCTGGCATGGAGGCGTGAGGGTGTAAGGAAAAAAAAAAGGTGGGAACCAGAGGACGATATGGCAGACCTTGCACCAGGATGCTGACCATGGCGTAGGCACGAGGATCGCAGCACCAGCGCGGTGTTGCTTCAAAGCCCCTTCGAGTCGACTAGCCGAAAAAGCCATAAGGAAGTGAACTCCCTAGCAGCATGTAGACTCATTGCAGTGAGGGGTCTGCAGTTAGGTTTTCTATGGGAATGCGGCGGAAAGAAGCAGGGGGGGAAATGCAGATGCCAAAGAAAAGAAAGAAAAATGTTAGCATCGAAATAGGGCAAAAACTGCGTTCCAGACATGTTTGGGAGGGGGTGGAGAACGGAAGAGGAAGAAGAAGAAAGCATTGAGGGAGCCCTTCACAATATGGGGTTTGTTTGGAAAGATGTGAGCCCGCCAGAGAGCAGCTCTCACGAACGTTACGAGCATGATGAAATGCTCCTTCCTGCTCTCCCTCTGTTCCTCAGAAGATTATGAGGAATCTTCCGAGAATTTCATCTTCTTCTCCCCACTCCTGTGCAGTTTGCAGTAGACAACGTTTTGCGGTGGTGAGCCGTACACCTGCTTCATCCGTTGTAGGTGTTGGTCCTTGTTCTGAGAGCCTGCAGCTGATACAGATCATTACTCCACAGTCTTTTTAAACCAAAGTTAAGTGCTTTCTAAAAAGGAGATCCATTTTCCTCCTGCAGCTTACAGCCAGCCCTCGGTCCCTCCCAAATGCTGGCCCAAACATAGGTGAGGCCACGCGCATCAGCTCAGAGGATGGTCAAAGCTCCATTTCTTTTTGCTTTTGATCTCATCCCAGAGCTGGTTCACCACACAGCCCTGTCAGCACAGTGCACCTATGTTAATATTTTCGTTTGCATTACAAGTGCCTTTTTGAACCAACTCCCTAGATCGTTCTGGTTTCCCATGCTGCGATTCACCTTGCAGGGGGTTTTGAGAACAAATGAGCTGAGCTGCTCTGGGGCCAAACAGAAGCAGAAGAAGGGAGCACGCCTAAAGCGCCAGCCGCCACTGGATGTTCATTAATGGACCTTCGGGCTGCAGGACGAGAACACAGCTAGCCCAAAGAAGCACCCGTGAAATACATACAGCGTGTGCGGCTGGTCCTCAGTACAGCCACGCTGCTCCGCACATCCATGCCGGAGGGGCTGCCCAAGCTGCTGCGGTAGACGTAGGTGCATGTGCCAGCAAAGCGGGGGGAGTGAGGCGACACAAGCAGCCAGAGGAGACCAGGCCACTTCTTTGGGGAGCAATATCACTCCTGCCAGATTCAAGAGACCATGAAATTGCAGCCACGGAGAGAACTGACAAACACTGAAAGGACAAGGGATGTCCCAGGGGCAAAGGACCGACTGAGGTTGCTAAGCAAAACTGGAAGTGAAAACCAAGCCCCATACTGGACCACCGCCTCTCTACTCATTTTATGTATCTGGGCCTATAAAAGGCCCAGAGGTAGGTTCAGCCTCTGCCCCACAACCCATAGGCCACCACTGCTCACCTAAAAACCTGCTCCATGGCTTCCTCTCCTGCGTGGAGCTTGGCACGCAGCACCCTCCGAGCGTGTTTATGCTGAAAGCTGTGTTGCAATGCAGAGTTACTTTCCCAAGCGGGTACCAGAAGCTGTCCAGATATGGAAGCAGAGAGCGCCCATATTTTCCTTCACCCTTCTTAGCCAGATTTCGCATGCAGCTCTGTGCCTTGTATGCATTTGGACACAAAGCCTCACACAATATTTATGCAAAGCTATTTCAACTATTTCTGCGCTGTTGTGCACTGTGCAATGTAGACCTTGCTTCAACAATAAATTACAGTGCTAAACAAAATCTGTCTTAATGTTCAGGTTTATTTATTTTGCCGCTTATCGTTTAGTAGATTTCGGTCCGATTCCTCCCCTCCCAAGTCACCTCTTCCACTCTGAAGAGTGTAAGATGCTGCGAGTCTCCTGTACTCCCTGCTGATATTTCTGTGTTCATCCTTTGCAGTGCATCGGTTCCAGGAAGGAAAAGAAACACAAGAACTGCCAAAACAGTCAACTGCCTACATCACGTGGAGAGGAGAACGCAGCTTCGACTGAACAACACTTGCTGTGCAGCTAGGGAAGGGGAATCTGAAAGAAAAGAAGCCCAGGTTTCACCCCCTAGATGAAGGAATAATAAATAACGTGCCAGAGAAGCAGTGGGAATGGGGAGGCTGTACAGCATGGGAGGAGATGTGCAAGTGAGCAGCCAGCAAGAAATGTCAAATTATGTGAGTAATAGAAGGAAAACAAGATGTGACCTAAGACACCAAGACTGAGGGAAGGTCCGCAAAAGAGCATTCAAGAACTAGGATGAGGCTCAGCAGAGCGTAGGTCATGGAGACAAGGGGAGGGAGAGCATGGAAAGGCAGGGTTTGAAGGCAGCAGAAAGACCAAAGAGAATGAGCACAAAATACAGTCCCTTTAATTTACTTGGGAAGACACCGTGGAGAAAACAACAAAATAAAGTGTCTGTAAGCAGCAAGACAAAAATTCCAGCCATGGGTGGTGGAATATAGATGAAAGACAGGACCAGAAGAGGACAATAAGGTGAGAAGATGGAGAAAAGGCTGCCTTTGCTAGGTATTGTCCTCAAGTAAAGCAGGTATTTTAAGCACAGAAGGAACAAGAGACTAAGGCTGGTTTCTCCCCTCTCAGTTACACCGCAGTCGATCATCCCAGTGAAAAACTAGTCTGAGATAAGAGGGAGGCCCCAGTCCCCAGATTAGCTCTGACTGGACAACCTTTGGAGGCCTCTATCTCAGGAAACCAAACATCTCAAAACTCTTACAAGGGCTAAGTAATAGGACTCCTCACATGAAAAAAATATCTGCGAGTCCGAAACTCTCTTCCATTCCTCTCCTGGCTTGTGGCAACAGCTAAAGGAATCGCTCCTTTGTAACATTGCTATTCCTTCACTGGGGCGATCAGCTGAAATTCTCCAAAACCAAATAATCCCAGATTGCCCATCCTAAACTCGAACATAGAAACTGCAAGGAGGGAGGCAGTGAGTTATCTGCAGGGAAGGAGAAGAGACGATGATCGAGGAGCTCTGTTGCTAGGATGTTATGAGAGGTGTAATTCTGTCTGGTACAGAGGCGGTTATGAAATGGCTCATCTTTTATGATTAACCTGGCTCGTCTCTTATGATTACATTATTAGGTAGTAGAAATGCCGTGTTCCCTTTGCGTTTCAGACGTAGGGAATAAAGCGATGGTCTCTGCCCCACGGAGCTTACAAGACGAGAAGCAGCAGGTGGGGAATATAAAAGGAGCCCTGAGAAGTTAGTGGTTGGCATGATGGGCAGTGAATCCAAAACACACAGGGCAAGGGGCGAGAGTTCCTGATCCCCCCATCTCACCATTCATTTCCTTCCCACTGGGAGCAAACCCCTGCATCCCAATGCATACGTTTGTCTTTCCCTCTTCCACCCCTGCTGATCATTAAATTCAGTTTAGATGAAATGAAGCCAATTAACACTTTTCCTAGGTTCATTTCTGACCAGTCACACTAAAACGAGTGCAGGAAATGGCAGAAATTAAGAGGAACATTGCAATTCCCTGTTTGTACAATGAAAGCAATTGCTTTCCTCGCTTACTGTAACACAGCCCTTCGGAGGCAGGGTGATACGTTATCTGGAAACATCCACTTGGGGACTATGCTGAAGACCCACAGCTGTCACTACGCCTCTGATACTTTATTTTAATCTATTCTAACGTTAATTTTCTAAGCATTTCTTAATTGCATTGGATAATATAACAGGGTATAAATCTTATCAGCGAATCAGACTGACTTCAGTTTGTGTTATCATATTACCATGGTTACATTATTATTACAAGTGAACCTTGCGCTTGTTACTAACCACAAACAGTTCTAGCAAATAACCTCAACTGAAGCAAAATATCCTGGCGGTGTTTCCATTTTTTGTCAAACCAACCCGGTATCTCGGGGTGATAGATAACTGTGGCCTACCTGTGATGCATTTACTCTTCTCAGACTCCTTCAGCCTACATTTATTTCCTTGCCTTTGCGCAGCGTTGAAACATCTCCATGCTGTCAACAAGACGCAGAAGCCAAATTCCTTAAGCATGGAATAGGATCTTTACCAGAAAGTCAGGCTATTCAGATGATGAGCACTACCCCAGCCTGTCAAAACATTCCCACGCTTGTATTGTTGTGGCAAAACCTGCTAGTGACTGCTACATTGGGAACCACCGGCAGCTGGATTAGGTCCCTCAAGGGTCTGGTTTCTCCTTAGTCTAATCCAATCTGACTGTGGTCTCCCATCAGAAGACACAGTCCAGCTTTCCCTCATCCCCAGTGCCACTGGTTGTGTGTCAGGTGAAGGGACAGACATTTCCTATGCGTCACTGCAATGATTTGACTCCCCCCATCTGATGTACGAGAGGGAAACGCACACTGGAACCGGGGAGGACAGCAATGCTGCCCCTTTCCCGGCCGCTGACTGTCAGTTTGGACATTTCCTACATTTGGGTATTCCTCTGCTGCAGGTTATTGTCCCACCAGGTGTGCAGGGACCATGGCGAGAAAACAGACCGCTATCCGGATCTGAGTTAAAAAAAAACCCCTTGCCTTCTTTCCTTTTTGGTAACCCAGATATTCCAGCGATCCACTTTTAAGCGTGAGCAGTTGCACTGGCACGACTGAGAAGGCAGAGCTGTACAGGAATGACGAGACAAGAGTAGGAGACCCTCCAGCAAAATGCTCCATCCAGGGGGAATGTGGAAGGAAGGATGGACTGTTTGCAAAACAAGAAGTCACCCAGGAGGCCGTGGAAGAGGATGCAGAAGGCAGCTGCTTGTGGGGAAGCGACATTAGAGCTTCTCCAGACATTCCTGTCAGACTATGAGCCATGCAAAGATATTCATTTCCTTTTTGCAGGCAGCAGCCCATCTGTTGAGTCAGGAAGAGGACTGATTTTGAATCACCCATTGCTGCCTCAGATGGGGTGGTGCTCCCCAAGGCCATGAAAGACCCACTTCTGCTTAGCGAAGGAGCCAGAGCAGTGCAGAACCGCCGGAGAGCTGGAGAGGTTCCGCAGTGCTGCTCCAGCAATGCCTCCTGCCTGAATCAGGTGTCAAACTGGCAAAGAAAATGCAAAACTTGCTTCTAGTCTGTAGATTAGGGAAGGCATATGAGAGAATTGGATGGGAAGGGTGGAAAGCCAGGCAAGATCAGCTCCGTTTTTACCTCTGTTTTACGGATAAGAGAGGGTCTGATAAGGACAGCGTGGGGAGGGGGAACATGAAGTTAAACAAACCAGCATCGCTCATGATGGTCGCAGCTGACAAGAAGCAGAGCTTGACGCTACCCCCCTCGTTGTTCACTATAAAGAAACTTTACCAGCATTTTAGCAAAGCACCTAATACATCATGTCTCAATGCTAGCTGGTGGGGACTGCATTCCCTCCGCAGGCTCATGGACACTGTTCAAATGAAGTCAGAGCTGGACTGCTCCAAGTAACACTTTCTTTCTAACTTGTTTTTTAATTTCTCCCTCATCACAAGCAGATTATGTCAGTTGAGTTCTGCTGCAATTACTTTTTATTCATCCTTACAATATCACATCTGATGTTCTTGTGCTTTGACTCCTTTTCTTCTCCTGGCCCGGGTTTCATACTTATATTTAAAAATGCCTAACCTTTGGTGACATGGACATCTGCTTAGTTTAATGCCTTCTTGCTCCCATGCTGCCAGTGTTCATCTCAGCACATCAGGCTGGGAACAGCCCTCACCAGCGTGGCCTTTGCAGAAGAGTATCTATTAAGCTGTGAATAATCAGCCACCGGGAGTGGAAGAACAGAAATGACGGGCTAAAAGTACACTTGAGATTTAGACACCCTGGGAAAAATTCCCAAACTGGAACAGCCTGAGGAGGAGAAAGCTTCTCCATCATAAGATGTCTTTGACAAAAGGTTAGGCATAGATATGTCAGGATTGATAAAGACTCTTCCAGGGACAGCAATGCACTAAGCATGAGCTCATGCTCTCCAGGCCCCACATTAACGTCGGCTCCAATGGCAGCCAGGCTGGTAAAGCAAGTCCATGCAAAGGCCAGACCCAGCCCTGCCGCTGGCTGCCTTCCCTTCTCCTCTCCCTCTGCCTTCAGCACTCTGTCTGCCCTAGAGAAGCACACATCCTTGCTTACCAGGAAAGGGAGTCCCACCAGACCTGTGCTTGGCTACTCAGAGATCTCTTCCCCCTGCTGTCACCAGCGCCTCTGACCTAGCCTTCAGAGACCTACCATGGCAGCTGCATCACTGCGCCTACCTCGCCACACGCCCATGAACTCCACATTCAACCCAGGACCAGAGAGGTTCATGCGTGAAGTAGTAAGCCCTTCCCAGGAGAAAGGACACGATTTGCAGTACAATTTGCATTCAGATGGCCTGCTGGCTGCAGTTGCGCTCTTTGGGTGGCCTTGGGACCCCTCACCTGAAGCAGCAACGCGATGGGAGCCTGGAGCTGGGCAGAAATGCCCACGGGAAGGCTTTCCAATCAAGCCTGCCTGCACACCGTGGGAAGCTGAGCAAGATCAATCTGCACTAGCAACACGTTTTAGTTCATACAAATCTGACAGCTACAGCAAGGACTTTTGCTCTTTTTGGGTTTTTTTTCCCCTCAGAAAACTCTAACCCTACAGCCTTTAGAGGAGTTTATTCGGTCTCAGCTGATGCTCACTTGGTCAAAGGCCCCTTCACATCAGCTCCATTGCTGATGAAAAATGAATCAGAAGCAACCTGCATGTATCTTGTTTGCACCAAACAACGCATTTTATGAGCTGGCTTTTAACCTTCTTTTGGATATGGGCAAGCTGAGGTGGGCTATATAACTCAACCAAGGTCACAAGAGGTCAGTGTCAGAGGCAGAAGAGATTTGGTGTACCATCCCCTGTCATCCGGGCTCTCCCTTTAAACCAGGAGATGTCACATGTGTAAAGGAAGAAGGCTCAGAAGATCTTGTGGTGGTATCAGTCTGCTGGGCAGTCCTCAGTGCATCACTGCACTCTCACTATCTCACGTTCTTTGCATCTAAGTACTTCATTTTGCAATTAAGAACTTAACCTAAAATGTCAAGCTTCATCTCCCCCCATTGTCTCTCTGCTGGTTTTCTGTACTCAGAGGGTTAACAGGACTGAGTCTCAGTTAGCGTATAACAACAAGTCAAGGAACCACTAAAAAAAAAACCCAACATAAATCTTTTTGCCTGAAATAATTCCCTTTCCACTGTGCTGGGGAGAACAAACACAGACCTCCTGCTGTTGCTCAAGGCACGTGCCTGGAGAAAGGGAGTTGTCACTGGCTCCAGGCTTCGCATCAGTGAGTCCCATAAAACTTGGAAGGTCAGGTGTGCAGTCATGGAGCCTGCGACATGTAAACAGCGGGATGTGAATTGGAACAGATAGGGCTCCGGAGGGACTTGCTCTCAGTCTCTGAGCCTTAACTTAAAACCTGAGCTGAGAAACTGCCCCACATGAAAGGCTGGCTTTGAATTCAGGTGCAAACTGACCTGAAACGGTACCCGAATCTCTCTTGGTTTCATTGTTCCACCATTTTTTGAGTGTCGGGTCTCTTATCAGTGTTGGCTTAAGAAGGAATATCACTTTTGATCTTCTTTAATGAAGGCTTTGTCCTGGAAGAACACATTTTCTATCAGCCAGGGCATCTGCAAACCTGCATTGAGAAAAGAATGGCATTTCAATTTCCGGAAATTATTGGCCCAAAACTTTAATCTGAATCTCACCACTGAACTGTCAATTCAGGGCACACTGCATCTTTGCGTAACCATTTGCTGTATTAGCATCAGATGTGCAGACAGGAAATTTTTTTTAGAAAAATAGCCTGCAAGAGCAAAGCAGCACCGGGGAAGTTATTTCATTTCAAAAGATGTTGGCATTGCAGATCAAAACCTTTCCCTCATATGGCACTGCTAGCCATGGGACAGCGCTGCCAGCCCTGTCCCGGGACCGAGCCAGCCGCCAGCCTGCCCGTCCCTCCGGACCTGGGAAGAGGACACAAGGGAGGGAGGGCTGCATCTGCTTTGTCCAGAGAAGGCCATTCCATTCCTGCAATTTTAACTTTGTCTTTCCTTTAAAAGGAAACCTGCTTTCTGGTAACCATTTTGGTGCCTCTGGGATAGGCTGAAATTGTTGCCCAGAACTGTTCCCGCTTTTCAGATGATTACCTCCAAGTGGCTCTCAGATTCCAACTGTTAGTCTCATGAATAATGTATTTCATTTCAAGCCTTTCATCTGTGCATAAGTTTTCCATCTATTTCCATCCTGGTCTGAGACACTCTTTTACCTGTAAAGCAGGGAAAGTTGCTATTTCCCCCACTTCTTGCTGGAGTCTCGTTTCTCTCAAACGCTGCTTGCCTGTTCCAGCTCTTGTGCCACCAAAACACTGCTTCAGGGGATGGGGTTCATATCCATCCTCTTGTTGCAGGCTGTTGGGGACGCCTCTTTTTTCAACAACATCTAGGCTGGCTGGAAAGTCCGCTGTCTGCAGCTAGTCTCTGTTCCCCACTCTTGGTGATGGATGAGCCAGCTGTGTTCCCCTGGTCACCCCCAAACCCACGTCACCCACGGGGAGCCAGCTCAGCTCACACTCACTGGCTCCTTTTAACCAAACTGACTTCAGGGGCTCTCACAAGGAGGAGAAGCTGCTTACAAGGAGCAGCACAGCAGCCACCAAAAGAGGACATTGGAAGGCTTGCAGTGTGCCTCTTCAGCTGGGCCAGCAAAACAACATCCCACTTCGACACGCTGGTATTACCGTGCTGCCTTGAGATTGCCAATGGAAACTGCAGGACAGCTGAACTTCTCCAGGAGTTGTGCCAGGGCATGTGTTAAATGTCCATAACTCGCCATCCTCTCTTCATAATCACCTGGTGGCCAGGGACGTGTAATTTAGATTATTTGGAATAGCAAAGAGAGCAAATTTAGAGGAACAAGCCTTCAAAGCAG